TGGACTTGCCAGAGCAGAAAAGGGAAGCCATGAGATGAAGAACACAAAGGGCTCAGTGTCGGGACCATACCCAGTTCTAGGAGGCTACAATTTCCTCTGAAGGTGGTCTTGCTTCAGACAAGACCAGATATGCCAACCTTAATAACAACCAGAGAGAGATTTTCCAATGGAAAATGATACTTATTTGAAGAGAATAGCATTGCAATGGGAATGCTATTCATAATTAATCAACATGCTCAAAGAAGTTGAGGCAAGAGGAACTTTTTAAAGGCAAATTTAGGATGATTACACATGATATTTTGTAACAATAATCCTTGGATATGAAGATTTATAGCAAGGATCATGGGAATTTGAGGTTGAACAGAGAGCAGCTGGCTAGATTTCCTTGCAGAAGTAGTTGTTGTATAAGTACTTGTTGGGGTGGCCTTTGTGTAAGGTTATGGTTCTGACAGTCAAATATGCACAATTACCCTTCCTTCATAAACTCCAAGACTTATTACTTTTTTGTTAGGGTAGTCTTGAGGGACTCCGATTTGATTTTGACAACTTTCACACAGTTGACCTGAATTAGAGTCATGAGGAAGTTTCCTCTGCTTTAACCCATATATGAAAGTAACCTGAACTAACCTGATGTTAGTCAATCAGTCTATTGATGTTCTATTTCTTCATTTCCATCTTACAAAATGCACTCTTCTGCTATTTTCTAGTGGAAGCTCTCACCTTATTTTGTAAAATGGAGGATTCTCTGATTCATAAATTGTGAATAAAATCCAGTTAGATCTACAACTAAGTCTGTTGTAATTTTGGCATTTGAGGAGTTTCTTAGAACAAACCTATATCTTCGTTGCATTTCTTCCTGTTTTTGGTTGTGATCCTCTAGATACTAAACTTTACAGGTTTAATTAGCCCCATTCAATGCCTTGTCCTCTCATTCCTCTTTCTCTTTCTGCTCCGTTTTCCTTCTTCCACCTCCATTCCCTCTACCATGATTATGCCCCAGGACCTGAGACACTCATTCCACATGAGTCATGCTTATGTCTCTCTCTGCCTGCTTCTTACCCCTCCAACTTGGTCCCGGTCTCCTCTGGCATCCTTTCTGTCCCCACTTCTTTTTTACTGCCCAAGGTGAGATAGACTCATGGCAGTATACGTGTAAAAATATGGTCAGGTTGGACACTGTAAAAGGGCAATTATATTAACATTCTACTTTGGTCATAAATTCTGTATTATTTGCCATGTGCATATACATGTTAATATTGATGTAATGTTTATGACACAAAAATTTGTGTCTTATATTTTTTGACTCAAAGCAATTTTCTGATGGACCTAGATTTCTATAATTATATTTAGAACTGTGTAGCAAACTAGAAACTGGCCAAATATTGTATTTAACAATTAACTTTTACTGCATGTGCATTTATAAGTACAGATTGTCCCAACTGGTTTGACTAATGATTTTTCAACATTACTGTATGTACTTTGAATTTTTTTTTTACATTTTTTTTTTAAAGAGAGAGTGAGAGAGGAGAGAGAGAGAGAATTTTTAATATTTATTTTTTCGTTCTTGGCGGACACAACATCTTTGTTGGTATGTGGTGCTGAGGATCGAACCTGGGCCGCAGGCATGCGAGGTGAGCGCGCTACCGCTTGAGCCACATCCCCAGCCCTGTACTTTGAATTTTGATCTCTGCCTGGGCTAGTGTTTTGTGATATTATAGTCTCTTATGATACCAGGTAGTGACAGTGAGCCCTGAGTCCCAGTTAGCCACAAGATATGGTGAGCAGTCAATACTCTGTACTGCATCAAGCTATGCTATGCATTAAATTAGGTGTATTGAATGCATCTTAAGCTTATAATTTCAGTTTACAATGTATTTATCAGGATATAATTCAACTGTTTGTGAAAGAGAATCTCTACTCTATTGAAAGGTATTTAAGGTTAATAAGGGTAATAAATTTACTTATTTATTATAACAAAATCTGCATGTAACATCCCAAATCATATCATTATTCTGTTTTATCCTTCTGAAAGAATAGTTCAGTTGGAGAAATTCTGAATTTTAGGATGAATTGTGGGCTAAATGTGCTTGATAATTTTTTTTTATAGTTTGGGTTTTTTCCCCCACATTTTAAAATTGGTGCATTATAGTGTTACATAATGATGGGATTTGTTGTTACACATTTGTACATGCACAAAATATAACAATATTATTTGGGTAATATCACTCCCTAGCACTTCTCCCTCATTTCCCATCATGGTTTGAAGTTGATGGTGATAATTTCAGTTGAAGGTTTTTCTACTTTGACCTTAGAATGAGTGTTTCTCAATTATGAGAACTATAACATTGACTAGGAAATGAGTGATTTCTACACACTTTCTTTCACTTGTTTCAATAAAATTATTTTATATAACATAAATCCTGGTGTGTTCTATGAATTTTTTTTCTTTACGTAAGAGGCTTTTTTCATGTTCATTTTATTGAATCCCTCCTCCAGTATGAATTATGTTATTTCCCTATTTCATTTCAACTACACCAAAGGTGTACTGCAATCCAATCTGACACCATCTACTCAGCGTTAGCACCAGAATTCCACATTTTTAAAGGCTCAGTCTCCAAGATTACCCTCATATGCCAGGCACATTTTGGGGGGGGCCCCAAACCACTGTACTTTGATAAACTGGCTGTAAATTTGGAAGTTTCCATGATTTTATCAGATTCAATAATTCACCAAAAAGACTCATAGAGCTCAAGTGTGAGCCATACTATGATTAGAGTTTTATTATAAAATATACAACTTTATAACAGCTAAGTGAAGAAACACATAAGGAGAGGTAAGTAGGGATCCAGAGCCCTCTCCCTGTGGAGTCCTGGATTATTACCCTCCTGAACATGAAATTATGTAGCAACCATGAAGGACCCTTGAGCCCCACTGTTTAGGAGTTTTATTATACAGGAATCTAATGCTTGATCAAATCATTAGCCACATAATTTAACTCAATCTTCTGCTCCCCATTCCCTTCCCAGGTTGGGCTGGCTCAAGATATTAACACTATGATCCCGTGGTTGATCTTTTTGGTGAGCAGCTCCCTTCCTGGGGCTGCCTAAGGGCCAGGACACTCACCTCATTAGTACAGCAAATATCCTCCTGTCACTCAGGAAATTCCAAAGGATTTAAAACTCTGCAGGAACCAGAAACAAATGCCAGATATATTATTTAAAAATATCAGCACACACTAATAGAAAGTAATTATTTTTATTAGATTTTCATCGTATGCTTTGATTGCAGATAATCACAACCCATTTCCCATTATTTCCACATAACATGCAAGAAGCTCTCTTTTCGTGATTCAGGTTCCTCTTTCAGGGCTGCCCCTCCTCCGAGTTTATTTGAGGATGTCAAGGCTGGATTTTTACACAATACTTGTCCATGGTGGCCACAGATCCAGGGTTTTCCCCTAGTTTAGTTGACTTCTGTTGTTGGAAGGATACATTAGGAATGAAGGCATCTCCACATTCAAAAAATACATAGAATTTCTCCTCCATGTGAGTTCTCTAGTGTTCATGAAGTTTAAAACTATGACTGAAGGCTTTTTACATATTTATTACATTGATAATGTGAGTTCTTCCATGTTGTTTAATTTTTAAAAATTGACTGTGATTTTTGTATGTCATTCATGTAATTTTTTTCCTATTATTTCTTTTGTGAAAATAAAGGTGAGTGCTCAGTGAAATATGAAATGTTTCCACAGTATCTTGTACTTTATTCTCATAATTAATCCAATAAACATAAGCTTAATCAGAACAAGCAAGCTTTTATTTGGGAAAAACAAAAAACAAACAAATGAATGAAAAACAAAAATGCCTGTTTTTACTACTCAAACCCTAGCCTAGTGCTTAGAATAGAATTGCCAGTTAGTAAAAATTTAATCCACAAATGTATTCCTTCACAAAATAGTCACCAAGTCTCCAGCACTCAATGTTCTCCCCGTGGAAGCTCAAGTAGTAAGGAAGACATGAAATTGTGGTCAGGAACACTGTATTCTAGTGAGTGACACACTAGATGTAAGTAAACAAGGAAAAAAATCTTCAAGTAGCTGTAAGTGCTCTGAAGGATCATGGATGAGGGTGGAGAGTGGAGTGTCGTGTGGTGCTGTTCTGGACATTTGGATAAGTACATCAGTGTTGAGACTTACCCACTGGGCCCATGTGACATTTACTGTCATCTCGTTCTAACCTTCTTGAGCAGGAACATATCAACATGATAATTTATGCATGAAAGCATTTGCCAATAGTAAAATACTTTATAAGATGATGCTAATAATTAGAGGTAGTGCCTGGAAAAATAATGAAAATGAGTCATGAATAGGGATTAGATTACAATCCTTTGATGGAGGTCCTGGAAAGAATGAATGGGGAAAATGGGGAGATATTGGCCATAAGGAGATAAATTTCCAGTTATAAGACAAGTTCTGGGTATTTAATATATAGCATGGTGACTGTAGTTAACACCATACTGTATACTCAAATTTGCTAAGAGAATATATATTAAGTGTTCTTACCTCACCCTTACACAAAGGTAATAGACGTACTAACTAGCTTGATTACAGTGATCATTTCACAAAGTCTATGTATATCAAATCATCACATTGTACACTTTATGTACACAATTTTCATTTGTCAATTACATCTCAATAAAGATGGTAAAAAGTTTCTTTTGAGGACAAATCTTGTTAAGAGTAGAACAGTCTGGCATATTTTAAAATGCTCCTTTTCTTTTGTAGGAAGTACAGGGGTATTTTTCACTAATATTCATTTATAAGAACCTGGTAGAGCTGCAAAGTGAAGCTCCCTCCTGCAGACCTTATCTCTCATACTTGTCCAAACTAAGCCTCCAGCAATTCATCCATTACTGCTTGGGTTTCTTTACTTAGCACTGATTACCATGGAGGTTATGTTGGTGGATTTCTGCTTAGGAAGTTGTGTTTTTCTCTATTCAACTGTGGACGAGGGGCTGAGGTTTATCCTATAAACTTATTTTTCAGTATGCTCTCCAGTTTTAGGGGCTGAGGTTTATCCTATAAACTTACTTCTCTACGGATCTAAGAGGAGTTTCAGATTTAGGTTTTTAATACTATTTTCCAATAAAAGAAGGCAGAGGTCCTCATAGAAATAGATGACACTAGAACTGGGGCATCAAAATACAAAACTAGATAAAACTAAAGAGCCAGAAAGAAAGGAAGTGTCCAACAAAATAAAACCCACCAAGACGGGATTTTGTCAAAGAAAAGAAAGCTACTGGAAAGATTCCCCAATGGCTAAAACAGGAACAACAGAAATAAATAACATAGTACTGGATTATAATCAAAAGCTTAAGATAACTATCCAGGTGTCCATACTGGTATAAATAAATGATTAAATGGATGAACAAATTGGAGTGAATAGAAAGCTCCTATTTAGAGGAATTCCTCCCAAATAACGCAGATCGTCATTAAGATGAAGCTAACTGCCAACTTCTTAGATGCGGGGGTGCATAGGGATTTCTTCCTAAAGACTACATCAAGCACAGATGGCGCAAAATGCAACTTCCTGGAGGAGAAACATGACAAACAACCAAGTGGTCACAGTTAACATTAACAGGGATAACCATCTATAGAGCACATATGCACGATACCAAGTGTGAGAACTGTACCCTACCTCTCATCTTCTCCAGAACCAATAAGCCCAACTAAATTATGAGGAAAACATCAAGGAAACCTCAAATGGGGAACTTTATCCAACTTGACCAGTATAAACATTATTGAGGTCATCAAAAATAGGAAAGACTAAAAATCTGTGATAGCCAGAAGAGCTGAAACATATCACTAGTAAATGTAAGCTGGTGTCCTGGTTGGGAATCAGGAACAGGGAAATTAGCAAATCTAAATAAAATATGAACTTCAGGTAGTAATAATTAATATTTGTTCACTAATTGTGACAAATGTACCACATTGATTTAAGATGTTAATAAGAGGGGGCTCTGGGAAGTCTCTATACTATTCTCTTCAAATTTTGTGTAAATCTTATATTGTTCTGAAATAAAAAATTTATTAAAACATTTTGCTTTCAAATGTGTGTATGTTTAGTTAGTGTTAGTTATTAGTAACTGACAATGATAACTGGCTGTACCTTTTTTTAAAAAGAGCATACTGAAAAATAAATAATATAGCCCATCGTTGTAGAATTTCAGGTATCACTTATTTTATGGCTTAGGTGTATAATTATTTATTATATTATTTTTACTTTTTATTGATGTGTCCTGGGCTACATCCTGGGCTCATATTCTAAAAAATAAGTGACATTTCACCAGGAAAAGGTATAGCCTTTAGATAATCTGCATTACTTCATGGCTGAACATTTTCAAAATACTGGCTTTATTAAAAAAGCTCCAATGGTGAATTGCTTCATTGTGACTGGGCCACTTATTCCAAAACATTCTTTATTGTGTTTCCATGTATATCTTTTAGTAGTAGTAGTAATGCAAATATTTGCCACTGGAAAAAATATTCAAAGATTAGAAGAATATGAACAGAATTCATGACATTATAACATGATGTTTCACTGCAATGTTTGCTAAAACAGAAGCATTCCAAAGGCACTCTTGATAATTTCCTTGATGATGCTCTACAGAATACTTTCTGTAATCAAAAAAAAAATATGGAAGGATATTTTGAATGATTTTAGACGTTTTATTCTGTAGGGAAAATATTACCTCTTTTGAGTTATTATTTTGGAGGCACAAACAATGGAGTGCTTCCAATTTTAATTGAATGAATAATAATAATGTTGACATAGCTAGTCATATAGCTAATGATAAAAAAGGGACCTGTGCCTTATTTGTATAATACAATCCAAAAGAAATTTATAATGCTCCTAGGAAATCATGTTAAACCTGAAATACAATTACCAATACCAAAAATAACACACTTTTCTTTACCTTTAAATTTCTATAACAGCCATTGCCCATTGTTGGCAAATGTATAATATCACAAAGTATGTTCTCGTTAACTACACTATCATAAAATAAAAGAAAGCTTTATTGACTTTATTCAAATGAAAGAAGAAATAGATATGGTCTAGCTCGGGATATTATCAACAAGTTAGGAACATCATAATGACCTAAAAATGCTTCTCACTAGAGATATGACAATGCACAAATATGGCAGGTATAGAAAGCCTTTAGGTTCCCTTCCTCAAAATGATGACTTCTTGCTATTTATATAGTTAATGGTTACAATGCCTGTAAATGATATAGCTAGTTACCAATATTGTATATATTGTATATGTATGTGTGTATACTATATATACATAATATATATGTATATGTACACATTGTAATACACACATACACACAAGTGTGTGTAGTAGTTTGTATATTTACATATAAATACACGAGCTTATTTATTGATAATAGAAATTCCATTATATATAAATAAAAATAAAATCAGTTATTGGTACTGATTGTACTAGTATTATAACTGATAAAAAATACTGTTATTGTGTTAGTAATCACACACACACACACACACACACAAACATATCAGTAACTGATAAGAAACAATATCAATGAGTGGATCATAAGAATTGCCAAATAGCAATTATGTCATTTGAAACAGTGTAATATGCATATTTTAACACTACAGTTGACTAAAAATAGAAAAGAAAGAAAAGAAAAACATAGATAAGATTAAGAATACTGTATAAAAGCCAGGTTTGTTGGCACACATCTGTAATCCCAGCAACTCTGAAGGCTGAAGCAGAAGGATTGCAAGTTCAAAGCCAGCCTCATCAATTTAGCAAGACCCATTCTCAAAATAAAACATAAAAAGGCTGGGGATGTGGCTCAGGGATAAAGCACCAGTGAGTTCAATCCCAGTAGGAAAAAGAAAATTATTTTTGTATAAAAGTACAAATTTAGGAGAAACGAACATTTCCAATAAACGTACAATAAAACTGTAAACCTACAGAAAATATGTAATTTCCTAGAAAATGTAAACCAGCAAAATAGACCCTGAAGTAAGGAAAACATAAATAATGCAAACAAAAAGTAGCATTAAGAACTCAGGGTTAGGGAGGAAGAGCAGGAGAAGATGCTTACCTCTAGATAGGGAAGAGAGGTGGGAGGGAAAGGGAGGAGAAGGGGAATTGCGAGGAAGATGGAAGGAGACCCTCATGGTTATACAGAATACATGTGTGAAGATGTGAGGGGCGGGGAAGAAGTGGGTCACATTAG